GGAGCAGTCTGTTCAATAGGATCATAGATTTGCTCTTGCAGGTTCTTCATCAGTGTCATACCTCCCACTGGGTCATACTCCCTAGTTGGGACCTAGCACCTGCCTTCCCACCTACCTCTGATCCAAACTAGGTCACATGGTCAATGTGTTTAAATATTGCTGTGGTTCAGACACTTGTGCTCAAGAAACCTGCTGAAGAGTCTTTCACTCCAGCAGCACAGAAGAGCTTTGACATAGGAACGTAGACCAGCAGGGGCTTATTTCCACCTAGCACCATCTTTTACAAATGGCTCTGCCACATGCTGCCAACCAACCGTGCCTCTTACAAGATTCAGGATAAATTAACAGCATCCACAAGAAAGAAAGAGCTGCCATTGGTCAACAGATGCTGTAATAAATGAAGAGCTAGGTCTCTTGGAAAGCCTCTGGGAAAAGATCAGAAGGGAGAGCAGCAGGGGTGATGTCAAAGTGGATGCTTGCCATAGGCCACCAAACCAGGAGAAAGAGGTGGATAATGTGTTCTTTAAGCAACTGGCATATGTTCTAAATCACAGGACCTGGTTCTCGTGGTTAACTTTGACTCCTGGAACATCTGCTGGGAGGAAAACACAGCAGTGTGAAAACAATCCAGCAAGTTCTTGGTATGTATTGGGGGCAGCTTCTTGGTACAAGTGGTGGAGATGCCCACTAGGGGGAAGCTCTTTTCAACTTGCTGATCATAAAGAGGGAGAAATTGGTTGAGAATGTGAAGGTGGAAGGCAACTTGGGTGACGGTGACCATGAAATGAGAAGAGTTCAAGATCCTAAGGGAGTAAAGAAAGGAAAGCAGCACTATAAAAATACTGGTCTGCAGAAAAACAGATTTGAACAAATTCAGGGGACTGGTGGGCAGGGTCATCAAAGAGGCCAAGTCTGAGGGGAAAGGGAGTGCAGGATAACTGGCTGTATTTTAAAGAGGCCATTTTAAGGGCACAGGAGCAAACTATCTCAATGAAAGGGAAGAATAGGAAGTATAACAGGAGACCAGTCTAATTAAACAGTGATCCCTCCAATGAGATGAACTCGGAAAGGAATCCTATAAAAAGTGGAATCAGTCATATTACTAGGAAAGAGTAAAAGTGCATTGCATGAGCATGCAGGGATTTGTGAGAGAAATTGTCCGTTCAGGCTCCCAATCTGGTAAGGGAACACCTGCGGACTCTCCTGACCTGAACGGGGCTCATATCCCAGCTGAGACTCCAATAAGTGGGAGAGGAGGGTGTGGTCTTTTCAGTTTATTCGGCCGAAGGTCCCCTGTCCTCATAAGGGCAGAGAGACCCTGACTGTAACTCAACACATATATTTATAAACTTTGGTTACACAAGCCTTTCCCATAACGCAGGCACAAAACTCAGCGGAAAATTACTAAGATGGCATGACTTTGCTCACCCCACATAGTTGGGCCCAATCACCTTGCTTGTCCGCCTAGATTGACAGACCAGTGGCAATCTTAGTGCAAGGTTGCATCAGCCAGCATTGATCAAAGGTCATACAGAGGTCACATTAATTTTCTAACAATATTTTCTAACAGAGTAAAGCAAGGCAGCCAAGGCATGATTTGAGATACAACCAGCAATGAATGTAAAAGGAGTTATAATCCTGTTGATGTTATCTGTGTTCTATATAACCTCATGTGCTGCTTATCTGCATATCTCAATTGGTATACTAGTGTTGGAGTGACATTATAGCCAGGATGATCCAGGAAATATGTGAGAAGCAAGGATTTTTTTGAGGAAGATCTTTTATTAGACCAACTGCATGGTTCGGATAGACTTAGACAAGTTGTCAAATGCAGTGTATTCTTCTTCATGTCTGTGGAAAAAACAGGCATGGCAAGGAATCCATGAATCCTTATGGGCTTGTTATGGGTGTGTTAATTGTTGTAACAGTGGAGATGAGGCTTTGTATCTATTATTAAGGCAAGGTTGTGTCTCATTTGATGTCTGTTCACCAGAAGGGAGTTTGCTTCTGATGATGACTTCGCCAAGGTTAGAGGATTGTTTGAAAATGAGGGGTGGGGGCTAAGAATATTTCTCTCAAAGTTTTTTTTTACTGTAGGCTGTAATTGTTTGATGATTCTTTTTGTTGATTCAAATGTGGGGTGGTGGGTGACCATCAAGGGTATGCAGTCATGGGTGGTGGGGAGAGGTCCTTTTTGTATTCTAGCAGGTTAAGGTGAGATATTTGAGTGGCTCTTTCAAAGGTATGGTCTATTTTTATGCTTTACTATCCTTGTATAAAGTGTTGAAGTGACGTTATAGCCATGATGGTCCAAGAAATATGTGAGAGGCAAGGATTTTTGTGGGAAATATCTTTGATTAGACCAATTGGAGTTCTGTCCCAACCATGTAGTTGGTCCAATTAAGGACATCACCCATAAGAACTCTTGCCTCTTGTATAAAGGTTGATTTCAGGTTGGCAAAGTGGGTGTTGCAGTTATTCTCATCAAAAGCGATACAGTGGTATCTGAGGGCCTGACTATAGATTGCAGATTTTTGGTGTGTTTGGGAGGTGTAAGAGAGTCACTTACCCTGCGTCTTGATTAAGGCCAGTCAGCACTGTGTCCAAGGTTTCTAGACAGTTTATTCTACATGGGATAGCCTTGTTCCCACAATAAAATAAAAAATAGCAAACCAAGCAAGCATTCCAACAGCTAAAAAATAAAGAAACACATGTAAAACTGGTGGTCTTTCTTCAGACCTTAGAACAAGTGAGACAGGCTCTGTGCTTCTTCCTAGACGCACCATCTCCTCTCCTCTCCCCCTTGCTCTCTCTCTGTAGCTCCACCTTCATTTACTGATCAATTACAGCTAACCTCCAGGCTTTCAGCCAGGCAGACTCTTAACTGGTGACTATCTGTAGCTGGATCTCAGCCCCCTGCAAGCTGAGCACCTCCTTACAGGATGATTGCTGGTTTTGTGGATGTAAATACTGTGGTCTGTCGATTTGTTTATACTGTGGTTTGTCGGGTGCCATCCCAGATGTGGATCATGGTATGTAGAAAGTTGATATTACTGTAGGAACATTCCAGACATAATTGGATTGAGATGTTAAACCTGTGGTAGAAACCAATATGCGAGTCCAGGCATTCGGTCCAGATGACAGAGGTATCATCTATGTAAGAAAGAGTGCAGGTTTGGTGGTGCAGTTTTCTAATAATGCCTCCTTCAGGTGGCCCATGAGGAGGTTAGCATATTTGGGCACCATCTTCATGCCCACAGTTGTGCCCATGGTTTGGAGGACATGCCAGTTGTTGAAAGTGATATTGGGGGGTGAAAATGAAGTGGATGATTTGTGCAACATGGTGTCACAAATCTGAGTGTAATCCATGCTCTTATAAATGTAGCAGCATTAAAAATGGACCCACCTGAAGGGATAGAAAGGGCTGCCCCATGGGCGACCGGTGCTGCCTTAGTGAGGGGGACATGTGCCCCACCTGCAACTAGTCCTGCCAATGGTGGGGGAGTCCCCCCGTGGCCAATCTCATCAACTGGGGGGGAGGTCTGTCCCCCCAGGTGATCTCACAACAACCAATTGCTGTGGCTGATCGCTGCGCTCACTGCAGCCACTTCCAGGAGCGGCTGTGGCCACTTCTGGGAGCAAGTGCTGGCCGATCGCTGCAGCTGCTCCCAGAAGCAGCCACAGCCACTCCTAAAAGCAGTTGCAGTGAGCTTATCAATTGGCCGGTGCTTTCAGGGGAGGCACCGGTGCTCCCACCTGCCCTCCCTTCTCACCGCCTAAGCAGTGAGTGCGACCATCAGGGGCTGCACCAGTGCTCTCGGGGGGTGCATGCGCATCCCCATGCACCCCCTACACGTCACCACTTGGCTGCCCTGCAGAGAGACAGAGTGTGCAGAGACAGAGAGTTTGTCCCATTAGGGTTACTGTTTGCCCTGAGGGCAAGTGAAGCTGCTCTGGAGGCAGCCCACTTTGGAGTGGGAGGAGTGATGTAACCCCAGCAAGGTTTAAATAGAGGAACATTAGCAAAAGCCCGGGAAGAGTCCTAGCCTGCAATTGGCTGAGACAGCTTGTTTAAAAGGGAGGAGCAGTTTTTCCTGGGGAGGAGAACAAAGGGATGGGAGAAGGACAGAGAGACAGACTGGAGGCCAGGAAAAGGACCTCACCACAGCTGTCCCTCAGTGAGCCCCTGTCAGAGCCCTGAAGAGGTGGCAGCTAGAGGCTGCACCCAGGAGTGATGCATTGTGTCCCTTCTTCCCTTCCCTCTTGGAGCCCAAGCACAATAGTGGACCTGCCTGTCAGGAGACTCCAAGCCCAGGAAGACCCTGCTACAATCCCCTGTGTGACGTGGGTGAGCACATGAGGGGAGGGGGACATAGGACCAGGGGGAGACTGCCCTGGTTTGCTCCATGAGTGAGAAGACACGTGGGGGAGGGACAGGTTCAGGGTGCCAGAGGGAGCACTGGGCTAGACGGGCAGGGACTGCTTCAGCCACCAGAAGCCCCAGGACAGGCAGGGCCCAGGGAAGGGCTGCATTTTCTAGGTGCTGTGAAGATGTGCTGGGCAGGGGAACTGCTACAACCTGCAACCCAGACACCGTTCCCTGCTGTACCAGAGGATGGGGCTCTGGGCAGGAATTAGCTCTCCTGCAGGGATTATAGGGGAGGAGCCACCACCTGCCACACAGACCCCTGAGGCTTGTGAGATGGACACCAGCAGCAGGGACCACCTGCAGCTCCTGTGCCAGGGGCACAGAAGCAGTCCTGCTCCCTGAGACACGAAGTGAGGGCAGCATACACAGGGTCCTCATAGTTATCCTGGAGCATGCAAGATATAGATTGTGTAAGTAAGTTCTAGATAGCTTATTAGCTGGCGTAGCGATTTATTTATTTGTTGGTTCCTTATTTATCGTGGGTAATTTTTATACCTTCCCCTGGTGTATTAACCTTAAGCCACCATTGTCATCTTATGTTTTTGTAACATTATTGGTTTTATTGTATTAGATATATATTATTTTGTAAATAATTAAATTCTGTAAATAATTTTATAAATGTCTGCAAGATTGTTTTGATTGTCAGGGGAGGCTCTCCACTTGGGGACCCTGCAGCAGCTACCCAGAGAGCTGAGTAGGGCCACTGGCTACTGGGTACCCCAGGGTCCCACTGTTCAGGTGAGGGTATGGGTAGTGTCATGCTCAGGGTTACATAAATATTTCAAGGAGGCAGCTGTGCCTTCTTGGTGTGGGATGTTAGTGTACAGACTGGTAATGTCAGGGTTTACAAGGGCATCAGGCCTGAAGTCTGGAGCGACAACTGGTGGGGTTACAGGGATAACCACAGTTGGAAGCAATGGGGTGGGATCTGAAACAAGGAGTCGGAAATGAAGCTGGAGGACTAACTAGAATAGGTCAGGTAGCAAGATGAAGTCAAGTCAAAGTCTAAACATCAAGCTAAAGGCTTAACTAAAATCAGGGGGTCAGGAAGCAAAATGAAGTTCAAAGTCCAAACACTGAGCCAAAGGATTAACCAGAAATCAGAGAGGCCAGGAAGGGCCAAAGCCTTACAGATTACACCTATGATTACAAGGTTGGCCTTCTCAGGGAGGTGGTTGATGTTCTGGATATTACTAAAGAAGTCTGTTGTGTTTTATAGAAAACTTGCTCTCTGAGTGACTAGTGGTTACCTCAGGATGATTGTTATGAATATGATTTCTAGGGTAGGAGAATAAGATGATCTCTCTAAAATGTTCCTGGGATAGGAGAGTAGAGGATTAATGGAAGCAGTTTTTCGTAAAACTAGTATGGAAAGGATTAGAAAGGATTTTTCAGTTCCAGGGTGAATACTGGTGTGAGGTTCTCCCCATGTTCTCTGTAATGAATGCTTATAAGTAGTCCTCTGCGTATGAGCGCTTGCCCAAGGTATCGACTTTTTCTAGCTAAAAATGTTACTGGGTTTTTTTCCACTGTCGTAATGTACCATGACAAATGACGTAACATGCATATTATGTGGTACGTTTAAGTTTCATTATGGGTTAATATGCTATTACTAGTAAAAGATGCTAGGGGGCACCTCATAACAATTTTATCCTCTTGACTTCCCAGTACTAAATTACAGCAGGGGGCAGTTTAGGAATGTATTTAATGATTTCTTTCTTTCTTTCTTTTTTTTACCTTCCTGCAGCTGGGAACAGGCTCCTCCACCAATGGGGCTGGGGGGGAAAGGGCTGGGGCCAGGCTGGCTGGGTGTGCAGTGCAGCACAGTGCTGTCGGGGGCGGGGGGAAGAGGGGGGAGTAGATGAGCTGGGAGCAGGTCAGGAATGCGGGCATTGGCAGGGCTGGGGGGGCAGGGACTGTGGGTCAGGAAAGCAGGGCACTTACAGTGCTGGGGAGGAGGGGGCTGTGGGTCAGGAGTGAGGGACACCAGCTAGGCTGGAGGGGATGGGAGCTGCAGGTAGGGAAGTGAAGGGCACCAAAAGGGCTGGGTGCTGCAGGATAACTAGGAATGAGAGGCACTGGCATGGCAGTGGGGGTAGGGGGCTTCAGGTTGGGCATGAGGGGTTCTGGTTG